CCTGATGCCTCCTCACTTCGTGTCTGGGGCTCTAAGGCACATGTCCTCATTCACCCCTCTGACCGCTCCCGTTCCATGGGAAAGCTTGCCCCTCGTACCCTTCCTTGCATCTTCCTTGGTCATAATCCCTCCTCCCCCGACTACCTTTTCCTCCACCCCCCATCCGGTCGTCTAATCCGCAGCAGGGATGTGGTCTTTGACGAGTCCACTCCCTACTACTCCTCTCCCACATCTACTGACCCACTCCCCCCTCTCACCCGTCCCCTTGTCTGGTCTGACACCACCCCTCCCCCACTACTCCCTCCTCCCCCCATCCTCCCACCCCCCCCTTCTCCGCCGTCCCAGTCCCATGGTGCCCCTCCCTCTTCCGGTGACATCTTTGACCCGGAACCTCTGTCTTCCCCTGTCTCCCCCGCTCACTCCTCTCCTAGTACCCCTCCCCCCCCCCCTTCCTCTCCCTCGCCACTAACCACTCCTCCGCCTTCCCGCACCATACTCACCCGGTATCCCCACACCAGGTCACGTGACGGTATCCTTGATGCACCGCCTCCCGTTACCCTCTCTACCTCTACCCTCCCCCCTCTCTCCCCCCTCCTTCGTCACTTCTTCCAGGCTGTCCTGCATCAAGCCCCTCATGCAACAGCCCCCTCAGCCAACTCCTCTCCAACAGCGGCTCCAGCAGCAGCAGCAGCGCCAGCAGCCGCAGCAGCAGCAGGACCAGCAGCGGCAGCAGCAGCGGGAGCGGCATCGGCACCAGTAACAGGACCAGCAGCGGCACCAGCAGCGGCACCAGCAGCGGCACCAGCAGCAGTACCAGCAGCGGCACCAGCAGCAGTACCAGCACCGGCACCGGCAACGCCTCCACCAGCAGCACCAGCTGCGGCACCAGCAGTCATCTGCGCCTTCCACACCTCCCTCTCTGAGGACTCCCATGAGGAGTTCCTTGACCTCCACCTTTATGACTCCTTGCTTCTACCCATCACGTTCGATCTCTCCGGCACACCTGTCTTCGCCTTCTCCTCTGCTCCCTCTATTTTCGTTCCTACCACGTACGAGGAGGCAATGGCGTGCCCTGACGCTCCGCTATGGCTCGCCGCCATCATCAAGGAGCTGGAGGCCTTTATCGGCAACTCCTCTTTTGTCGATGTGCCTCGCCCTCCCGCCCCTACGAACGTGGTGAAAGGAAAGTGGGTGTTTCGCGTCAAGCAGCTGCCAGGGGAGCCGCCCGTCTATAAGGCTCGTTACTGCGCCAAGGGGTTCACGCAGCGGTATGGTTTTGACTTCTTCGATACCTTCTCCCCTACTGCCAAGCCTGCTACTGTTCGCGCCGTGCTCGACCTCGCCGCTCGCCTCAATATGGAGATCCACTCGATGGACGTTTCTAACGCCTTCCTACAAGGCGTCCTCCGCGAGCTTATCTACATGGAGCGTCCAGCCGGCTTTCACCTTCCCTTCCCAGCAGACTCTGTCTGGCAGTTGCGTCGACCTGTGTATGGGCTCCGACAGGCCCCTAGAGAGTGGCATGCTAAGCTTGCCGCCACCCTTGGTGAACTTGGGTTTCGCACCTCCCGCTCCGACGCCAGCCTCTTCCTCCGCACCTCCCCCTCCCCCTTCTACATCCTTGTATATGTCGATGACATGTTTCTACTCACCGCCGACCTTGCTGAGTTGGAACGTGTTAAGGCTGAGTTGGGTAGCCGACTCAAGTGCAAGGACTTGGGAGAGCTGCAGCATTACCTGGGCATGACCATCACCCGCGACCGCTCCGCCCGCACCATCTCTCTCTCCCAGGGTCATTACTTGCAGCAGGTCTTGGAGCGGTTTGACATGGTCCGCGGTGGCGCCCAACCTACTCCTCTTTCTGTCGGGCACCACCTCTCTCAACCCACCTCCCCCTCAGCCTCCTCCCATCCTTATCCCGAGCTCATCGGCTCCCTCATGTACGCCATGGTCTCCACTCGCCCTGACCTTGCCTACCCCATCAGCGTCCTCGCTCGTTTTGTTGGCGCAGGCAAGCATACGGAAGAGCACTGGCAGGCCGCCAAGCGTGTCCTCCGGTACCTTCGTGGCACCAAGGACTATGTCCTTACCCTTGGCGGCCCCTCCCCACCTCTCCTCTGCGGCTACAGTGACTCCTCCTGGGCTGATTCCCGGCCAGATCGTCGCTCCTCCCAGGGCTATGGCTTCTCTCTTGGCAGCGGCCTTATCAGCTGGCGCTCCACCCGCTCCTCGGCTGCAGCCCTCTCCTCCTGCGAGGCGGAATTGTATGCCGCCACCATGGCTGCGCAAGAGGCCCGCTGGCTCACCTTCCTTCTTGAGGAACTTGGTGCCCCCCAGCGCTGTCCCACAATTTGGTGTGACAATGCTAGTACCATTCACCTCACCAAAGATGCTGTGTTTCACGGGCGCTCCAAGCACATTGAGCTCCGTCATTTCTTCATTCGCGATCTTGTTCAGGCGGGGCACCTTCGCCTCGACAAGGTTGACTCGGCGGCCAACCTTGCCGACATCTTCACAAAAGCTCTTCCTCACGCCGCTCACTCTTTCCTACTTCGTCTTCTTGGCCTCACTCCTCCTAAGTCTCCTCCCGCCTCTTGATTCTAGCCTTCTAGCCTTATGCATGTTGGGGGGTTGTGTTGTAATTTCATATTTTATACAACATACATAGGCTAGAAGTGTAGCACATTTTATCAATTGGGGGGTTGCTTAGTGTACCCTCCAACCACATTTTGTGGTTGGTTGGGATTGGTCCTTAGCTCAACCAATCCCAACCAACACACATTTGTGGTTGCTTGGGTCACAAGCAAGCTCACCCATTGGCCAACTTATTGGCCAATAGAGTAAGCTTCCCTCTCATCTCTCTCTTGCTCATTGTTTGTACTAAAGAGCCTCTTGGCTCATTATTCAATGCATCAATTCTCTCACTTGCAACACGAACACCCTGTTCGTGGTGCACGAACACCCTGTTTGTGGTGCACGAACACCCTGTTCTTGGTGAACCCAATGCCTCATTGCTAAGTTGGTGCTGGCCGAACCAGAACTTGGCTGAAAGCAGCACCCCACCCCAGCACCCCCAACACCCCGCACTGGAACTTGGTACACCAACAGTGTGAGTGGCGAGCCGCTTGTTGTGAGTGGCACCCACACCAGCAACCAACCGCCTGGCTGATTGTCCTAGGCACTGATGCTCCCCTGGCTTGTACGGGTCGCTTGCCCTCTCAGGCTGATGCAACCCTTCTAGACTGATCAACTTCTCTATCAGACGGCATTGACCATGTATGTATGCTGCAAACTGCACATTGCATGGGGGACATTGCATGGGGGACATTGCATGGGGCACATTGCATGGGGGACATTGCATGGGGCACATTGCATGGGGGACATTGCATGGGGGACATTGCATGGGGGACATTGCATGGGGGACATTGCATGGGGGACATTGCATGGGGGACATTGCATGGGGGACATTGCATGGGGGACATTGCATGGGGGACATTGCATGGGGGACATTGCATGGGGGACATTGCATGGGGGACATAGCATGGGGGACATTGCATGGGGGACATTGCATGGGGGACATTGCATGGGGGACATTGCATGGGGGACATTGCATGGGGGACATTGCATGGGGGACATTGCATGGGGGACATTGCATGGGGGACATTGCATGGGGGACATTGCATGAGGGACATTGCATGGGGGACATTGCATGGGGGACATTGCATGGGGGACATTGCATGGGGGACATTGCATGGGGGACATTGCATGGGGGACATTGCATGGGGGACATTGCATGATGGGGACATTGCATGGGGGACATTGCATGGGGGACATGGCACAACGGAGGTGCGGCAAGCACACTCACATGGCCGCTGCTGCTGGCACTGGTACCCGGCCACTGCCCCATGCCCCCCGCCTTGCCCCCTGCCGCCCCCCCTCCCCCCCAAATCCACTCCGCCTGCCCTGCTACTCCCTGCTGCCCCTGCTGCTGCCGCGAGGACAGGAGAGCAAGGGTCGAGAGAGAAGGGGGCGGGGAGGTGGTGAGGGAGAGTGGAAGAAGAGAGCATGGAAACGCGGCCGGGGGGGAAGCTATGGGAAAGGTGAAGAAGAGATGCGGACCAAGAGAGTGAAGAGACGAAAGGAGTGAGGAGACGAAGGGAGTGAGGAGACCAAGGGAGTGAGGAGACCAAGGGAGTGAGGAGACCAAGGGAGTGAGGAGACCAAGGGAGTGAGGAGACCAAGGGAGTGAGGAGACCAAGGGAGTGAGGAGACCAAGGGAGTGAGGAGACCAAGGGAGTGAGGAGACCAAGGGAGTGAGGAGACCAAGGGAGTGAGGAGACCAAGGGAGTGAGGAGACCAAGGGAGTGAGGAGACCAAGGGAGTGAGGAGACCAAGGGAGTGAGGAGACCAAGGGAGTGAGGAGACCAAGGGAGTGAGGAGACCAAGGGAGTGAGGAGACCAAGGGAGTGAGGAGACCAAGGGAGTGAGGAGACCAAGGGAGTGAGGAGACGAATGAGCAAGGGAAGGGAGCAGCGAGGAGCAGAAGGGAGTGAGGAGGAGGGGCATACGGAAGGGTCGAGGGCGGGAGAGAAGTAGCGTTGCAATCGGTCCTCCATCCGCAGGTCCCACAGCCCCCACGCCCTCCCTGCCGTGCCTGTGTGTGTCCCGCCGTGGGCGTTCGAGGCATGTTGAAGAGCGCAGGTGCGAGGGCGCAGGTGCGAGGGCGCAGGTGTGAGGGCGCAGGTGCGAGGGTGCAGGTGTGAGGGCGCAGGTGCGAGGGCGCAGGTGTGAGGGCGCAGGTGTGAGGGCGCAGGTGTGAGGGCGCAGGTGTGAGGGCGCAGGAAACAAAGAGATGGGCGAAGGTGAGGAGACAGGAGTAGATGTGCGCCAGATAATCGAGACAGGCATAGAAACCACCGAGTGTCTGACTGACATGACTATCCGAGAGTTGAAACGACATATGCATCTCATCCCAATATCACCCTATGGCAGCAGCGTACCGAGGGTGACTAGTCCCAGAGCGAGGCCAGCCCCGAGAGAGTACCCCTCCCTCTCCATGCTGCCCTCCCCCTCTGGCTTGCGCCCTATCTCGTCCTGACAGGGCGGGGAGAGGGTGAGGGGGAGGAAAGAGGTGAGAGGGTGAGGGGGAGGAAAGAGGAAAGAGGGGAAACAGCAAAGTGAGGAGCATGGGGATGAAGGTGATGAGAGCGTGAGAGCAGAAAGAGCGGGGTAAGCGGCTGGGGGTTGAACCTGGGAGCAGGAGAGAGAATTGGAGGTTCGGCTTCCAGGCTGTTGGGGGGGAGGGAATCGAATGGCAACGATAGCAAACGCCGGGCAACTAGGTCGGGGCATGGGGCACAACAAGTTTGGGCTCGGGGCACAACAAGTTTGGGCTCGGGGCACAACAAGTTTGGGCTCGGGGCACAACAAGTTTGGGCTCAGGGCACAACAAGTTTGGGCTCGGGGCACAACAAGTTTGGGCTCGGGGCACAACAAGTTTGGGCTCGGGGCACAACAAGTTTGGGCTCGGGGCACAACAAGTTTGGGCTCGGGGCACAACAAGTTTGGGCTCGGGGCACAACAAGTTTGGGCTCGGGGCACAACAAGTTTGGGCTCGGGGCACAACAAGTTTGGGCTCGGGGCACAACAAGTTTGGGCTCGGGGCACAACAAGCTTGGGCTCGGGGCACAACAAGTTTGGGCTCGGGGCACAACAAGTTTGGGCTCGGGGCACAACAAGTTTGGGCTCGGGGCACAACAAGTTTGGGCTCGGGGCACAACAAGTTTGGGCTCGGGACACAACAAGTTTGGGCTCGGGGCACAACAAGTTTGGGCTCGGGGCACAACAAGTTTGGGCTCGGGGCACAACAAGTTTGGGCTCGGGGCACAACAAGTTTGGGCTCGGGGCACAACAAGTTTGGGCTCCGGGCACAACAAGTTTGGGCTCGGGGCACAACAAGTTTGGGCTCGGGGCACAACAAGTTTGGGCTCGGGGCACAACAAGTTTGGGCTCGGGGCACAACAAGTTTGGGCTCGGGGCACAACAAGTTTGGGCTCGGGGCACAACAAGTTTGGGCTCGGGACACAACAAGTTTGGGCTAGGGGCACAACAAGTTTGGGCTCGGGGCACAACAAGTTTGGGCTCGGGGCACAACAAGTTTGGGCTCGGGGCACAACAAGTTTGGGCTCGGGGCACAACAAGTTTGGGCTCGGGGCACAACAAGTTTGGGCTCGGGACACAACAAGTTTGGGCTCGGGGCACAACAAGTTTGGGCTCGGGACACAACAAGTTTGGGCTCGGGGCACAACAAGTTTGGAGCTTGGCCTCGGGGCACAACAAGTTTGGGCTCGGGGCACAACAAGTTTGGGCTCGGGGCACAACAAGTTTGGGCTCGGGGCACAACAAGTTTGGGCTCGGGGCACAACAAGTTTGGGCTCGGGGCACAACAAGTTTGGGCTCGGGGCACAACAAGTTTGGGCTCGGGACACAACAAGTTTGGGCTCGGGGCACAACAAGTTTGGGCTCGGGGCACAACAAGTTTGGGCTCGGGGCACAACAAGTTTGGGCTCGGGACAAAACAAGTTTGGGCTCGGGGCACAACAAGTTTGGGCTCGGGTCACAACAAGTTTGGGCTCGGGGCACAACAAGTTTGGAGCTTGAGCTCAGGGCACAACAAGTTTGGGCTCGGGGCACAACAAGTTTGGGCTCGGGGCACAACAAGTTTGGGCTCGGGGCACAACAAGTTTGGGCTCGGGGCACAACAAGTTTGGGCTCGGGGCACAACAAGTTTGGGCTCGGGGCACAACAAGTTTGGGCTCGGGGCACAACAAGTTTGGGCTCGGGGCACAACAAGTTTGGGCTCGGGGCACAACAAGTTTGGGCTCGGGGCACAACAAGTTTGGGCTCGGGGCACAACAAGTTTGGGCTCGGGGCACAACAAGTTTGGGCTCGGGGCACAACAAGTTTGGGCTCGGGACACAACAAGTTTGGGCTTGGGGCACAACAAGTTTGGGCTCGGGGCACAACAAGTTTGGGCTCGGGGCACAACAAGTTTGGAGCTTGGGCTCGGGGCACAACAAGTTTGGGCTCGGGGCACAACAAGTTTGGAGCTTGGGCTCGGGGCACAACAAGTTTGGGCTCGGGGCACAACAAGCTTGGGCTCAGGGCACAACAAGTTTGGGCTCGGGGCACAACAAGTTTGGGCTCGGGGCACAACAAGTTTGGGCTCGGGGCACAACAAGTTTGGGCTCGGGGCACAACAAGTTTGGGCTCGGGGCACAACAAGTTTGGGCTCGGGGCACAACAAGTTTGGGCTCGGGGCACAACAAGTTTGGGCTCGGGGCACAACAAGTTTGGGCTCGGGGCACAACAAGTTTGGAGCTTGGGCTCGGGGCACAACAAGTTTGGGCTCGGGGCACAACAAGTTTGGAGCTTGGGCTCGGGGCACAACAAGTTTGGGCTCGGGGCACAACAAGTTTGGAGCTTGGGCTCGGGGCACAACAAGTTTGGGCTCGGGGCACAACAAGCTTGGGCTCAGGGCACAACAAGTTTGGGCTCGGGGCACAACAAGTTTGGGCTCGGGGCACCAAACAAGTTTGGGCTCGGGGCACAACAAGTTTGGGCTCGGGGCACAACAAGTTTGGGCTCGGGGCACAACAAGTTTGGGCTCGGGGCACAACAAGTTTGGGCTCGGGGCACAACAAGTTTGGGCTCGGGGCACAACAAGTTTGGGCTCGGGGCACAACAAGTTTGGGCTCGGGGCACAACAAGTTTGGGCTCAGGGCATAACAAGTTTGGGCTCGGGGCACAACAAGTTTGGGCTCGGGGCACAACAAGTTTGGGCTCGGGACACAACAAGTTTGGGCTCGGGGCACAACAAGTTTGGGCTCGGGGCACAACAAGTTTGGGCTCGGGGCACAACAAGTTTGGAGCTTGGGCTCGGGGCACAACAAGTTTGGGCTCGGGGCACAACAAGTTTGGGCTCGGGGCACAACAAGTTTGGGCTCGGGGCACAACAAGTTTGGGCTCGGGGCACAACAAGTTTGGGCTCGGGGCACAACAAGTTTGGGCTCGGGGCACAACAAGTTTGGGCTCGGGGCACAACAAGTTTGGGCTCGGGGCACAACAAGTTTGGGCCTCGGGGCACAACAAGTTTGGGCTCGGGGCACAACAAGTTTGGGCTCGGGGCACAACAAGTTTGGGCTCGGGGCACAACAAGTTTGGGCTCGGGGCACAACAAGTTTGGGCTCGGGGCACAACAAGTTTGGGCTCGGGGCACAACAAGTTTGGGCTCGGGGCACAACAAGTTTGGGCTCGGGGCACAACAAGTTTGGGCTCGGGGCACAACAAGCTTGGGCTCGGGGCACAACAAGTTTGGGCTCGGGGCACAACAAGTTTGGGCTCGGGGCACAACAAGTTTGGGCTCGGGGCACAACAAGTTTGGGCTCGGGGCACAACAAGGTTGGGCTCGGGGCACAACAAGTTTGGGCTCGGGGCACAACAAGTTTGGGCTCGGGGCACAACAAGTTTGGGCTCGGGGCACAACAAGTTTGGGCTCGGGGCACAACAAGTTTGGGCTCGGGGCACAACAAGTTTGGGCTCGGGGCACAACAAGTTTGGGCTCGGGGCACAACAAGTTTGGGCTCGGGGCACAACAAGTTTGGGCTCGGGGCACAACAAGTTTGGGCTCGGGACACAACAAGTTTGGGCTCGGGGCACAACAAGTTTGGGCTCGGGGCACAACAAGTTTGGGCTCGGGGCACAACAAGTTTGGAGCTTGAGCTCGGGGCACAACAAGTTTGGGCTCGGGGCACAACAAGTTTGGGCTCGGGGCACAACAAGTTTGGGCTCGGGGCACAACAAGTTTGGGCTCGGGGCACAACAAGTTTGGGCTCGGGGCACAACAAGTTTGGGCTCGGGGCACAACAAGTTTGGGCTCGGGGCACAACAAGTTTGGGCTCGGGGCACAACAAGTTTGGGCTCGGGGCACAACAAGTTTGGGCTCGGGGCACAACAAGTTTGGGCTCGGGGCACAACAAGTTTGGGCTCGGGGCACAACAAGTTTGGGCTCGGGGCACAACAAGGTTGGGCTCTGGGCACAACAAGTTTGGGCTCTGGGCACAACAAGTTTGGGCTCGGGGCACAACAAGTTTGGGCTCGGGGCACAACAAGTTTGGGCTCGGGGCACAACAAGTTTGGGCTCGGGGCACAACAAGGTTGGGCTCGGGGCACAACAAGGTTGGGCTCGGGGCACAACAAGTTTGGGCTCGGGGCACAACAAGTTTGGGCTCGGGGCACAACAAGTTTGGGCTCGGGGCACAACAAGTTTGGGCTCGGGGCACAACAAGTTTGGGCTCGGGGCACAACAAGTTTGGGCTCGGGGCACAACAAGTTTGGGCTCGGGGCACAACAAGCTTGGGCTCGGGGTACAACAAGTTTGGGCTCGGGGCACAAGTTTGGGCTCGGGGCACAACAAGTTTGGGCTCGGGGCACAACAAGTTTGGGCTCGGGGCACAACAAGCTTGGGCTCGGGGCACAACAAGTTTGGGCTCGGGGCACAACAAGTTTGGGCTCGGGGCACAACAAGTTTGGGCTCGGGGCACAACAAGGTTGGGCTCGGGGCACAACAAGTTTGGGCTCGGGGCACAACAAGTTTGGGCTCGGGGCACAACAAGTTTGGGCTCGGGGCACAACAAGTTTGGGCTCGGGGCACAACAAGTTTGGGCTCGGGGCACAACAAGTTTGGGCTCGGGGCACAACAAGTTTGGGCTCGGGGCACAACAAGTTTGGGCTCGGGGCACAACAAGTTTGGGCTCGGGGCACAACAAGTTTGGGCTCGGGACACAACAAGTTTGGGCTCGGGGCACAACAAGTTTGGGCTCGGGGCACAACAAGTTTGGGCTCGGGGCACAACAAGTTTGGAGCTTGAGCTCGGGGCACAACAAGTTTGGGCTCGGGGCACAACAAGTTTGGGCTCGGGGCACAACAAGTTTGGGCTCGGGGCACAACAAGCTTGGGCTCGGGGCACAACAAGTTTGGGCTCGGGGCACAACAAGTTTGGGCTCGGGGCACAACAAGTTTGGGCTCGGGGCACAACAAGGTTGGGCTCGGGGCACAACAAGTTTGGGCTCGGGGCACAACAAGTTTGGGCTCGGGGCACAACAAGTTTGGGCTCGGGGCACAACAAGTTTGGGCTCGGGGCACAACAAGTTTGGGCTCGGGGCACAACAAGTTTGGGCTCGGGGCACAACAAGTTTGGGCTCGGGGCACAACAAGTTTGGGCTCGGGGCACAACAAGTTTGGGCTCGGGGCACAACAAGTTTGGGCTCGGGACACAACAAGTTTGGGCTCGGGGCACAACAAGTTTGGGCTCGGGGCACAACAAGTTTGGGCTCGGGGCACAACAAGTTTGGAGCTTGAGCTCGGGGCACAACAAGTTTGGGCTCGGGGCACAACAAGTTTGGGCTCGGGGCACAACAAGTTTGGGCTCGGGGCACAACAAGTTTGGGCTCGGGGCACAACAAGTTTGGGCTCGGGGCACAACAAGTTTGGGCTCGGGGCACAACAAGTTTGGGCTCGGGGCACAACAAGTTTGGGCTCGGGGCACAACAAGTTTGGGCTCGGGGCACAACAAGTTTGGGCTCGGGGCACAACAAGTTTGGGCTCGGGACACAACAAGTTTGGGCTCGGGGCACAACAAGTTTGGGCTCGGGGCACAACAAGTTTGGGCTCGGGGCACAACAAGTTTGGAGCTTGAGCTCGGGGCACAACAAGTTTGGGCTCGGGGCACAACAAGTTTGGGCTCGGGGCACAACAAGTTTGGGCTCGGGGCACAACAAGTTTGGGCTCGGGGCACAACAAGTTTGGGCTCGGGGCACAACAAGTTTGGGCTCGGGGCACAACAAGTTTGGGCTCGGGGCACAACAAGTTTGGGCTCGGGGCACAACAAGTTTGGGCTCGGGGCACAACAAGTTTGGGCTCGGGGCACAACAAGTTTGGGCTCGGGGCACAACAAGTTTGGGCTCGGGGCACAACAAGTTTGGGCTCGGGGCACAACAAGGTTGGGCTCTGGGCACAACAAGTTTGGGCTCTGGGCACAACAAGTTTGGGCTCGGGGCACAACAAGTTTGGGCTCGGGGCACAACAAGTTTGGGCTCGGGGCACAACAAGTTTGGGCTCGGGGCACAACAAGGTTGGGCTCGGGGCACAACAAGGTTGGGCTCGGGGCACAACAAGTTTGGGCTCGGGGCACAACAAGTTTGGGCTCGGGGCACAACAAGTTTGGGCTCGGGGCACAACAAGTTTGGGCTCGGGGCACAACAAGTTTGGGCTCGGGGCACAACAAGTTTGGGCTCGGGGCACAACAAGTTTGGGCTCGGGGCACAACAAGCTTGGGCTCGGGGTACAACAAGTTTGGGCTCGGGGCACAAGTTTGGGCTCGGGGCACAACAAGTTTGGGCTCGGGGCACAACAAGTTTGGGCTCGGGGCACAACAAGCTTGGGCTCGGGGCACAACAAGTTTGGGCTCGGGGCACAACAAGTTTGGGCTCGGGGCACAACAAGTTTGGGCTCGGGGCACAACAAGCTTGGGCTCGGGGCACAACAAGGTTGGGCTCGGGGCACAACAAGTTTGGGCTCGTGGGCTCGGGGCACAACAAGTTTGGGCTCGGGGCACAACAAGTTTGGGCTCGGGGCACAACAAGTTTGGGCTCGGGGCACAACAAGTTTGGGCTCGGGGCACAACAAGTTTGGGCTCGGGGCACAACAAGTTTGGGCTCGGGGCACAACAAGTTTGGGCTCGGGGCACAACAAGTTTGGGCTCGGGGCACAACAAGTTTGGGCTCTGGGCACAACAAGTTTGGGCTCTGGGCACAACAAGTTTGGGCTCGGGGCACAACAAGTTTGGGCTCGGGGCACAACAAGTTTGGGCTCGGGGCACAACAAGTTTGGGCTCGGGGCACAACAAGGTTGGGCTCGGGGCACAACAAGGTTGGGCTCGGGGCACAACAAGTTTGGGCTCGGGGCACAACAAGTTTGGGCTCGGGGCACAACAAGTTTGGGCTCGGGGCACAACAAGTTTGGGCTCGGGGCACAACAAGTTTGGGCTCGGGGCACAACAAGTTTGGGCTCGGGGCACAACAAGTTTGGGCTCGGGGCACAACAAGCTTGGGCTCGGGGTACAACAAGTTTGGGCTCGGGGCACAACAAGTTTGGGCTCGGGGCACAACAAGTTTGGGCTCGGGGCACAACAAGTTTGGGCTCGGGGCACAACAAGCTTGGGCTCGGGGCACAACAAGTTTGGGCTCGGGGCACAACAAGTTTGGGCTCGGGGCACAACAAGTTTGGGCTCGGGGCACAACAAGCTTGGGCTCGGGGCACAACAAGGTTGGGCTCGGGGCACAACAAGTTTGGGCTCGTGGGCTCGGGGCACAACAAGTTTGGGCTCGGGGCACAACAAGTTTGGGCTCGGGGCACAACAAGTTTGGGCTCGGGGCACAACAAGTTTGGGCTCGGGGCACAACAAGTTTGGGCTCGGGGCACAACAAGTTTGGGCTCGGGGCACAACAAGTTTGGGCTCGGGGCACAACAAGTTTGGGCTCGGGGCACAACAAGCTTGGGCTCGGGGCACAACAAGTTTGGGCTCGGGGCACAACAAGTTTGGGCTCGGGGCACAACAAGTTTGGGCTCGGGGCACAACAAGTTTGGGCTCGGGGCACAACAAGGTTGGGCTCGGGGCACAACAAGTTTGGGCTCGGGGCACAACAAGTTTGGGCTCGGGGCACAACAAGTTTGGGCTCGGGGCACAACAAGTTTGGGCTCTGGGCACAACAAGTTTGGGCTCGGGGCACAACAAGTTTGGGCTCGGGGCACAACAAGGTTGGGCTCGGGGCACAACAAGGTTGGGCTTTGCCATTCTGAATGGCCCATTCACTTGGGGTCACCACCGCATGGATGCGCATCCCCTCCACCAACAGGCAGCATGCAGCAGGCAGCAGCGCAGCAGGCAGCAGGCAGCAGGCAGCAGGGCAGGGAAAAGGGGACTCACTAGCAGGATCTCAGTGGTGAGGCGGTGCGCTGACCCCATGTGCAGCAGCCCCACGCCCACCAGTGCTGCCGTCTGCACCAGAGAAAGGAGGGGTGCAGAGAGAAAAGGAGCAGCAGGTGGTGGATGGATCATAATGGACATTGAGGTCGGGAAGAGAGGATCACAATGGTGGAGAGAAAATGGATGATGGGGGACGAGATAGGTGACGTACCTGAATGGAGGGAGGGAGCTCGAGGTCGGGGAAGGACGGAGGGTGGCGCGATGGGATGTGCAGATAGAGCATCTGGTGGTGGGAGGGGTGGGTGCAGGGGGGCGGGGAGAGGGAGAATAGAGGAGACTAGTGATTCACACAGGGGAAAGAAGAAAGAGAAAGGCGCATCGTGAAGATTCATGGGAGGTTGAGGAGCGCTGAGGGTGTGTGGATGGGAGGGGAAACGAGTCCGCAACACAATGCATGGCATGAGAAGGCATGAAGGAGGAACGCTGTTGGGAAGAGATTTGCACATGGCAGCACATCTTGCACATGGCAGCACATCTTGCACATGGCAGCACATCTTGCACATGGCAGCACATCTTGCACATGGCAGCACATCTTGCACATGGCAGCACATCTTGCACATGGCAGCACATCTTGCACATGGCATGGCAGCACGCGTCACGTTGCAGATAGTGGCATCCATGGTGGAGCGATACGTTGCAGATAGTGGCATCCATGGTGGAGCGATACGTTGCAGATAGTGGCATCCATGGTGGAGCGGTACGTTGCAGATAGTGGCATCCATGGTGGAGCGGTACGATGCAGATAGTGGCATCCATGGTGGAGCGGTACGATACAGATAGTGGCATCCATGGTGGAGCGATACGTTGCAGATAGTGGCATCCATGGTGGAGCGGTACGATGCAGATAGTGGCATCCATGGTGGAGCGGTACGATACAGATAGTGGCATCCATGGTGGAGCGATACGTTGCAGATAGTGGCATCCATGGTGGAGCGGTACGTTGCAGAAAGTGGCATCCATGGTGGAGCGGTACGATGCAGATAGTGGCATCCATGGTGGAGCGATACGTTGCAGATAGTGGCATCCATGGTGGAGCGGTACGATGCAGATAGTGGCATCCATGGTGGAGCGGTACGATACAGATAGTGGCATCCATGGTGGAGCGATACGTTGCAGATAGTGGCATCCATGGTGGAGCGGTACGTTGCAGATAGTGGCATCCATGGTGGAGCGGTACGATGCAGATAGTGGCATCCATGGTGGAGCGGTACGATGCAGATAGTGGCATCCATGGTGGAGCGGTACGTTGCAGATAGTGGCATCCATGGTGGAGCGGTACGATGCAGATAGTGGCATCCATGGTGGAGCGGTACGATGCAGATAGTGGCATCCATGGTGGAGCGGTACGATGCAGATAGTGGCATCCATGGTGGAGCGGTACGTTGCAGATAGTGGCATCCATGGTGGAGCGGTACGATGCAGATAGTGGCATCCATGGTGGAGCGATACGTTGCAGATAGTGGCATCCATGGTGGAGCGGTACGTTGCAGAAAGTGGCATCCATGGTGGAGCGGTACGATGCAGATAGTGGCATCCATGGTGGAGCGGTACGATACAGATAGTGGCATCCATGGTGGAGCGATACGTTGCAGATAGTGGCATCCATGGTGGAGCGGTACGTTGCAGATAGTGGCATCCATGGTGGAGCGGTACGATGCAGATAGTGGCATCCATGGTGGAGCGGTACGATGCAGATAGTGGCATCCATGGTGGAGCGGTACGATACAGATAGTGGCATCCATGGTGGAGCGATACGTTGCAGATAGTGGCATCCATGGTGGAGCGGTACGTTGCAGATAGTGGCATCTATGGTGGAGCGGTACGATGCAGATAGTGGCATCCATGGTGGAGCGGTACGATGCAGATAGTGGCATCCATGGTGGAGCGGTACGTTGCAGATAGTGGCATCCATGGTGGAGCGGTACGATGCAGATAGTGGCATCCATGGTGGAGCGGTACGATGCAGATAGTGGCATCCATGGTGGAGCGGTACGATGCAGATAGTGGCATCCATGGTGGAGCGGTACGATGCAGATAGTGGCATCCATGGTGGAGCGGTACGATGCAGATAGTGGCATCCATGGTGGAGCGGTACGTTGCAGATAGTGGCATCCATGGTGTGGAGCAGTACGATGCAGATAGTGGCATCCATGGTGGAGCGGTACGATGCAGCGGCACCCAACAGGATGACATGACATGACATAACAAGGCATGACGAGAGAACGCTATTGGAAAGAGATGAAGCACCTTGCACACGGCATGACAGCACCCCTCACCTTGCACACGGCATGACAGCACCTGTCACTCACCTTGCACACGGCATGACAGCACCTGTCACTCACCTTGCACACGGCATGACAGCACCTGTCACTCACCTTGCAGATATTGGCGTCCATGGTAGCGCGGTACGACGCAGCAGCGCCCAGCAGCACGCCCACCGTCGTCGCCTCGTGCTCCTGGGGGAAGGGAAAGGGGCGTGGGAGGGAGAAACAGGTGGGAGGAAGGGGATCGCAGATGAGCGGGACCACTAGTGTGAGTGAGACATGATGCAAAGAAGCTGAATCGGCCAACAATGTCAGGGTGCAGCAGAGAGAAGCGGGAACACGTCGCAGAGATGTTGGGGAGGTGTGCAGTAAATGGCCCACAGACCGAATAAAATTCCAGTCTGTTGAACCGAGGCCCACGTGGCATCACGTGGACTACAGCCACACCATCAGAGCAGGGGGGGAGGCAGCGAAACCCACGAGGGCAAGGTCGCGGAAGAAGTCGGTGGGGGCGAGCACACGCAGGTGGCCGCGCAGCCCCAGCGCCATGAGCAACCCCCCGTGTGCACTCGAGGCCTCCCCTGGCCGGTTGTACACCACCCATGCCCGTGTGACTGTGCCCGGCTGGTAAGGGTTGGAAGGGGCAGGGAGAGGCAGGGATGGGCAGGGATGGGCAGGGATGGGCAGGGATGGGCAGGGATGGGCAGGGATGGGCAGGGATGGGCAGGGATGGGCAGGGATGGGCAGGGATGGGCAGGGATGGGCAGGGATGGGCAGGGATGGGCAGGGATGGGCAGGGATGGGCAGGGATGGGCAAGGATGGGCAGGGATGGGCAGGGATGGGCAGGGATGGGCAGGGATGGGCAGGGATGGGCAGGGATGGGCAGGGATGGGCAGGGATGGGCAGGGATGGGCAGGGATGGAGCTTTTGAGTCGACTCAACAGAGCAGCACCACGCCGTGTCCACTGCTTGCCTCCACTGGCCGGTTGTACACCACCCATACCCGCGTCACCGCGTCTGGCTGTGAGGGAGGGGGTAAGCGAGAGAGGCACGGGTGGGGATGAATGCTTGTAACGAGGATAAGTTGCGGAGGGATGGAATGTGAAAAAGGGATGTGAGGTGTCAGCGGGCTGTGCGAGTTGAGGGCGAGCGTTGAGGGGACGGGGGCATGGCAGCTGGCGATCACATGAGCAGGACAACAGCACGGGCACACCAGTAGGAGAGAGAGCCGGCGAGGTGAGGTGCGGTGAGGTGATGTGAGGTGATGTGAGGTGATGTGAGGTGAGGTGATGTGAGGTGAGGTGAGGTGATGTGAGGTGAGGTGAGGTGATGTGAGGTGATGTGAGGTCATGTGAGGTGATGTGAGGTGATGTGAGGTGATGTGAGGTGATGTGAGGTGAGGTGAGGTGAGGTGAGGTGATGTGATGTGAGGTGAGGTGAGGTGATGTGAGGTCACTCACGGGCACACAGGCGAGCTTGAGGCCGGCTGCCACTCCATTGTGGAACTCCGGCCACGTGGCGAGCTCTGATAGGTTGCCCAGCGTGCCGTCCAGCCCCACCTGGAGGAGAGAGCGAGTGAGGCACAATGGCGGGCGGGGAGAGGGGTCGAGGAGGACGGTGCTAAGCTGCCGCAGCAGGCAGGGAAGCAGGCTTCAACGTAACAGCCAACACTTGAGGTGCACAGAGATGACGACTTCAAAGAGAGGCGTCATCATCTTGGTTGCATGAGAGGTGGCGGCGGCATGAGAGGGTGATGGCAGCGACTCTGCTCTATTCCCGCATGCCCAGCTGCACTGCACCCACCGTGGCGTCGTTCTGCGCCGTCAAGCGCCCCGCCAGCACCAGCTTGGGGACCGACAGGGCCTGCAGGGGGTTAGAAGCAGCAGGCACACAGGCAGATAGGCAGCCATGCAAACAGGAAGAGAGGCAGAGGCACAGACATTATTGTGAAAAAAAGAAGTTGGTGGTTGGGATCTCGGCCAGGATAATTGGTCCGCACCAATATACTAAGTTGGATGAATCAGTGGGGGGTTTGGTCTGAGGGAGTCAAAATATTTGGCCCCTGAATAGTTTACCAACCCTTTTGGGCAGAACAGTTCAACTCCCCGACCCAACTACGGTGAAACCTAACTGTACACCCAAACGAAGTGCCTAAACCTGCACAAGAATCGTAGTATATGCAGGATAAAATAATCATTAGCTTCTGACAAAGTGCCCATGCCATAGAAATAAATCGGTGGGGTAGGGTGCAGTGCGGGAATCAGGCGCAAGGCAGGTGGCCTGGGTGAGGGCGGGGCAAGGCAGGGCAGCAGGCGTGCCTGGGTGAGGGTGGGTGGGGCGGTGGCGAAGGTAAAGGCAGCGCGGCCCAGCGGTAGCGCCACCGTGCGATGCGCCACCTGCCATAGCCGCGCCTGATGGGGGGAAGTAGCGTGAAGTGGCATAGGGATGATGCGATGAGCAGCAAATGATGGCGGGAGAGGGGGAAGTGGGGGAGTAGTGGGCGACATGAATGGGCATGGGCAGAAAGGAAAGGGGTGGTGATATCGAGCATGACACTTTCCACGCTGCTGATGCCAAGGCAAGGAGGAAAGGGGGACGAGTGGACCTCACTAGCTTCACTACGAGGGGCACCTGGTGGGCGGCAAAGGGCACCTGGTGGGCGGTGAGGGGCACCTGGTGGGCGGCGAGGGCGTCGGGGTCGGTGGAATCAGAAGCAGCGGCGGCCGGCAGGGGCACTGGGCGCGCAGAGCACAGCAGGCGACGCACCTGGTGAGGAAGGGGAGGGAAAGGGAGAGGGGGACGAGGCAGGTTGAGAGGTGCCGCAGTGTGGGCTGAGTGAGAGTGCAGGCAGAGAGGTGGCGAGGAAGGCGAGGCAGTGGGATAGGAGGATGCAAGGAGACGGGGTCACGAATGACCATCCACAGTGACATCTCTGGCACCCACGTTGCCCACACAGTGCTGTGCTCCACTTGAGTGAGGCTCACATGCTAGCGTGCCCCACCCACGTGTGCTTCCCCCCCTCTTGACCCATGCAGGGCTCACCTCAGCAAGACGAAGGTCACAGGGGAAGCGCAGGGCGAGCAGGGAGCGGGTGGGCGGCAGCAGCAGATGCTCCATGCCGTCCGCCACCATGCCCTCTCCCCCTGCGCCCTCCACTCCCGCCCCTCCCCCTCCCACCCCAGTCGCGTCCGATGCCCCCCCCACCCCCACTCCGCTGCCCGCCCCCGCCCCCATGCCCCCCACGCCCATCCCTGAGGCGGAGGCAAGGCCTTGAGAGGCGTGGGATCCAGGGAGGGCGAGAGAGGGGTGCAGGGCGGAGTGGGGGGACGAGGGGAAGGGGGAGAGTGGGCGCACGAGCACAGTGGGAGGGAAGGAGAAGGCGAGAGGCGAAAGGGAGTGTGGGGAAAGGGGCGGTGCAGTGGTGCGCGGTGGCGCGCTTGCGGTGATGGTGGCTTCCTTAGCGCTGCTGAGATGCGAGTGAGGGGAGGGGCAGCGAGGCAGCGGCGAGTGGTGGAGGGAGAAGCAGTGCAGGCAGGCGGTGGCGGTGGCAGCCAGGTCGTCTCTCCCCACCAACACGTATGCCGCTGCTGGCCAGCCTGGGGGAGGGTTTTCCCTGCACACGTGCAGTGCCTGCAACAGGGGTAGGCAGGGGTGGAGTGCGGTGGGGTGGGTGGGGGAAGCGAGTGTGAGAATTGAACCGATGAGTTGATTAGGAATGATGAGGGCTTACATAGTTGGAGCTAAGGAAAAGGGGGGTGGTTGGTACCTAGCCAACATTATTGGCCCCCACCAATAAGTTGGGTTGGAGAATTATTGGGGGGTCCCAATAATGTTGGTCAAAGTGGGCCAACATTATTGGGGGGGCCAATAATCCTCCAACCCAACCTTGGGGTCCAATAATTGGGTCAAGGTTGGGTTCCAACCCCCACCTAGGGTTAACCCTAGGTGTGCACCCAAACATTGTTTGGGTGCCTATCTCTATCCTAGGGTTTATAGGACCAATGCAGGATACAGAAGAGTAGTATAATCTAACACAACCCCTTAGCCTGCAGAGATCCTTAAACCAGGATGAGATAAGACAGCAACCCCTGAATCAGTCACCATGGGGGGCAAGGCCCAGGAGGGGCAAGATTGCCGAGTGAGTAGCACGGTCGAGGGCCTTAGTGAAAACGTCGACGGGGTTGGAGGATGAGTCGATCTTGCGCAAGGTGATGTGGCCATCCTGGACAAGGTCGCGGACGAAGTAGTGTCGGAGCTCGATATGCTTGGAGCGACCATGGAAGACAGCTTCTTTGGTGAGGTGGATGGTGCTAGCGTTGTCACACCAGAGGGTGGGACATGGTTGTGGTGAGCCAAGGTCTGTGAGGAGATAGCTGAGCCAGCGTGCTTCTTGTGCCGCCATCGTGACCGCGTATAGTTCGGCTTCGCAGGAGGAGAGGGCGATGGAGGAGGAACGGGTGGAGCGCCAGCTGATGAGGCCGCTCCCAAGGGAGAAACCATATCCCTGTGAGCTGCGACGGTCAGGTTGTGAATCTGCCCAGGACGAGTCGCTGAAGCCAGTGAGAACCGGCGGGTCCGCTCCACCAAGGGTGAGAGAGTAATTCTTCGTATGCTGAAGGTAGCGTAGGACACGCCGGGCCGCCGTCATGTGTTCCTCCGTGTGCCTGCCGACAACAACGAACCGCGCCAGAACACTTACTGGGTAGGCAAGGTCGGGGCGGGTGCGGACCATGGCATACATCAGGGCCCCGACAAGCTCTGCATAGGGGTTCGAGGAGTCGGTGGGGGTGGCACGGGGCGAGAGCTGATGCCCAACTGCAAGCGGAGTGGCGATGGGCTTGGCTTTGGACATTCCAAACCTCTCAAGGACCTTCTCAATGTAGAAGGACTGAGAGAGGGAGATAGTCTTAGCCTTGAGGTCGCGAGTGATCTCCATGCCAAGGTAGTTGCGGACCTCCCCCAGGTCTTTGTAGGCAAGGCGACGCTGTAGTTCGTCCTTGACCTCCTGCATCTCAGCATCTGTGTCGGCAGCTAGTAGCATGTCGTCGACATAAACAAGAATGTAGAAAGGGGACGGAGCCGTCCGAAGGAAGAGGCTAGAGGCAGCTCGGGAGGGGCGAAAACCAAGCTCGCGAAGGGTGGAAGAGAGCTTGGCATGCCACTCTCGGGGTGCCTGCTTGAGGCCGTAGACAGGCCGCAGCAGCTTCCAAACGGTGGACGGGTCATGTGGAGCGTGAAAGCCTTTGGGGCGTTCCATGAAGATGAGTTCGTGTAGGTCGCCTTGGAGGAAGGCGGTAGTGACATCCATGGAGTGCAGCAGCATGCCGCGTCTGCCGACGAAGTCGAGGAACACCCGAACGACCGGTGGGGTAGGAGTGGGTGAGTATGTTTCAAAGAAGTCAGAGCCGTGCTTCTGTGTGAAGCCCTTCGCCACATAGCGAGCTTTGTAGACAGGGTATTTGCCAGGGAGAAGCTTGACACGGAAGAGCCATTTGCCTTTGACGACATTGGTCTTGGCAGGGCGAGGGACGTCGATGAAGGAGCGGTTGTGGATGAAGGCGTTGCTCTCCTTGACCATGGCTTCAATCCAGAGCGGTGCGTCGAGGCACGCAATAGCCTCCTCATACGTGGTGGGTTTGAAGATGGTGGGGGTGCCCGAGAAAAGAAGAACTGGAGTGCCCGCCATGGTGCGGACGATGGGGGCGATGGAGGGCGCGAGGAGGTGGAGGAAGAGGAGTTCGTCGTGGGTGTCTTCATAGAGGAGAGGAGAGAGAGGAGGAGGTAGAGGGGGTGGTGAAGATGCAAGACAGCTGCGCTGGAGGTCGAATCTGAGACATGGAAGTGCTGCTGCTCGGCTGCGTGGTGGTGCAGTCAGGAGCGCGGAGCGGTTGCGCAGTGGATCTGGAGTGAGGGGGCTGAAGCGGGGGGGGAGGGGAGTACCGGTGAGGGCGAGGAGGGAGGGGGGGGAAGTCTGTGGGGAACCAAGGATGGGGTGGGGTCTAGGGAGCGGGTGTGGGGATAGCGGGGAAGGACAAGGGTAGGGGAGGGGCGCCGGGGAAGGGGGGGGGGAGGTGGAGGGGGGGGCGGATTAGAGGAGGGGAGGGGGGGAGGGAGGGGAAGGGGGCGAGGGAGGTGGAGTAGGGGGAGGAGGAGGAGGAAGGTGAGTTGCAGCGGAAGGTGAGGTAGTGGAGTGGGAGGGGGAGGGGGGGGGTGGGTTAAGGATGTCGCCGGAGGAGCTGGAGGAGAGGGGAGCGGGGGGGAGGGGTGGAGGAGGGGGGGGAGGGGTCATGGCAGGGGACAGGAGGAGGGGCAGTGTGTCAGTCCAGAAAAGGGGCCGGGGAAATGGGGGAAGGGGGTTGGGGGCGGAGGAAGAGGTGTAGTACGGGGTGGCCTCGTCAAAGACCACGTCCCGACTACGGATGAGGCGGCCTGAGGGGGGGTGGAGGAAAAGGTAGTCAGGTGAGGTGGTGTTGTGTCCAAGGTAGACACAGGGGAGAGTGCGAGACGCAAGCTTTCTACGTGCGCGTGGGCGATCGGCAGGGTGTATGAGGACATACGCCTTGCAACCCCACACGCGCAGAGGGGATATGTCAGGCTTGCTGGAGGTCCATAGTTCGGTGGGGGTGGAGGTGGGACGAGAGGGGTGGGGGTAGAGGTTAGTGAGGATGGCAGCGTGAAGGATGGCATAGCCCCAAAGAGAAGGCGTGAAGGATGGCATAGCCCCAAAGAGAAGGCGTGAATGAGGAGGCACCGAGCAGTTTTGGTGATCTCCCGAACGCGGCTCTCCGCCACACCATTCTGCTGAGGGGAGTGAGGGAGAGTGTAGGTGTGGAGGATGCCGTGAGAGGTGCAGTAGGAGGACAGGGTGCGGTTGAGGAACTCACCACCTCCATCGGAATGGAAGCGGCGAACAGGGCGACCGAAGTGGTTGCGTGCTTATTCACCCCAGGCAGTGATGGCAGCCGGGGCCTCCGCCTTCGTACGAAGGAGGGTGACGGAGGAGTATCGACTGTGATCATCCACCAGGATGAGGAGGTAGCGATGTCCTTGCCTGGTGGGGGAAGGGTTGGGGCCCCAAAGGTCCATGTGGACGAGGTCAAGGGGTTGGAGGGAAAAAGAGGGGTTACTTGTATGTGGTTGTTGCTTCAACTTGCTTTCAACACAAACTGAGCAAGGAGGGGAGGGGGAAGGAGGGAGGGGGGGAAGGGTAAAGGGGAGACCGTCAAGGATTTTAGTGAAGATGGATCGGCGAAGGGTGGCAAAGTTGGGATGGCCGAGGCGATGGTGGAGGAGAATGGTGGGGTGTGTGAGATCACGACAGTGACAGGGGGAGGGTGGGTTAGATGCGGGGGGAGGGGGAGGGGGAGGGGGAGGGGGAGGGGGGGGGGGAGTTTGAGAGGAGGGGAAGGGGCGGGGGGATGGGGTGTGGAGAGTTGGTGAAGGGTGGGACGGGGGATGCGGAAGGTGTACATGTGGGTGGAGGGGCACCGATGGATACGGCAGAGGAAGCGACCGAAGGAGGTGTGAAATAAGTCGCAATATGCTTTGTGACCAAAGGAATATGGCGGTGACACCTGAGTCAGAGAGGGCACCAAGGGATACCAAGTTGTTCCGAAGGGAGGGGATATAGAGACCTGTGACAGTACCTGAGGGAAAGAGGGGACAGGGGAGTGTGGAGATGTAACGGCTTTGTATCGCAAAGCTGGAGTCAGCCCCAAGTATTGTGGAGGGGGTGGAGAAGGGGAGGAGCGTGCCTGCGTCACGAAGGACCGTGTGCGTGGCTCCGCTATCAAGGATGAACTCAAGGGGCTTTGAGGAGGAGGGGGACTCGGAGTACTGGAAGGAGGACTCATTAATAGCATTGGCATACATAGGATCATTGCAAGAGCTAGCAGTGGTGACATGACCTATGAAACGGTGTGAAGCCGGGGGGGTGAGAGGGGGAGGTGGGTAGTTCAGCAGGTGCAGCAGTTGCAGCTGTCCCATGGCCATACAGAGATGGGGGGTAGGGAGGGTAGGGCCAGCCAGCGTAAGGAGGAGGATAAGGGGAGAGAGGAGGATAGGGGGAGGGAGGGGTTTGAGGTGCGAGGGTGGGTGTGGTGAGGGTGGGAGGCGTTGGGGTGGTGGTGGGTGTGGGGAGGAGGTGTTGGACTTGCCGGAGGACGTGAGGAGAGAGGTGTTGGGCGAGGACATTATGGAGGTTGGGGGGAGATGGTGCATAGGCGGGGAGGGTGCGAATGTCATAAGGGGTGGGGCGAGGGGTGATGGTGCTCCAGCGTGGAGGAGGGCCCGTGTTGCCGCGTGCAAGTCATTCGTCGGTGAGAGCTTTGAAGCACGTATTAGTGGGATGGGTGGTCTGGTTGCAGGTCTGATCTTTGTTAGGGCCTTGGCGAATGACATACTGGCACGGAGGGAGCCCACCCGTGGTTGAAGTGGTTGCCCCACGCCCGCCACGTTTCCCAGTGCGCCCTCCTCGTCCACCTCCGCGACCGCCTCCTCTTCCACCACCGCCCGAGCCACGTCCTGGTCCGCCCCCGCTGCTTCCGCCGGTGTTTGTTCCTTTGCGCGCATGAACGGCATTGATGGAGCCAGATTCACGCAGAAGGTCAGCCTCACTGTCAAGGAGCCAATCGATGGTAACAGCCACAGGAGGAGGACGGATGTGCTAGGAAAATTGATGCGGTAAGTGTCGTAGGTGGGTGGGAGGCAATCAAGGATGCGTGCTGTGAGGAGGGTGTCAGAGATCAAGATGCCACGATCATTGAGACGTTGTGCAGTGTCCGTGAGGCGCCGAGCGAAGGAAGCAGCGTTGAGGGAGGAGTCCAGTGTGATGTCTTGGAAGGTGCGAAAGAGGGAGAGGAGGGAACGTCTGAGAAGATGATAGTAAGTGCATGGCGGTCAGCAATGCGCCATGCAGCTGTATCGGAGTGGTGCTTACGGAGCTTAGCGGAGTACTCTTCGGAGGCGGCTTTGAATTCTGCAAGTTTTGCAGTGGCAGCTTCGTGATCGGCGATGGCAGCTGCGTGTGTTCTGCTTTTGATGACATAGTCGTCCCGCTCCTTGTTGTATTTGTTGAGCGTGCGAGCCCACCTGCCCGGATCATCCTCCCAAGCCCCTAGGATAGGGGCTTGGGGGGCAGGTTCGGTCGGGAGTGGTGGGGCGTCGGGGGGAGGAGGAGCCTGGGAGTGGGGGCGGAGTGGGGGGGAGGTCATTAGGTGTTTCGAGGACAACGTCTAGGAGGCAGTAATCTCCCACTCGAACGGAGCCCAGGTACGTGAAGAGGCTCTCTTCAAAAGACACCCAATTGACGGCGGTGGTGCCGTTGAGGAGCTCGAGCTTGTCGATGGAGGCAAGCTCGAGCGAGGTTGATTCGTCGGCCATGAGAGGAGGAGGAGGGAGGGAGGGGAGGTGGACGACACCGTCTTGAGGGACAGAACGGTCCGGCTGCTCCACGGGCGGTAGCAGCAAACCCTAATTCAGGGTCCGTCGCGGCTGGTGGGCGTCTCCGCGGCGTCCGCAGCTGGTGGGCGTCTCCGCGGCGTCTGCAGCTGGTGGGTGTCTCCGCGGCGTCCGCGGCTGACGGCCGCGTTCGTCGCGTCCGCGGCTGACGGCCGCATTCGTCGCGTCAGCGGCTGACGGCCGCGTTCGTCACGTCCGCGGCTGACGGCCGCGTTCATCGCGTCCGTGACTGACGGTCGCGTTCGTCGCGTCCGCGGCTGACGGTCGCGTTCGTCGCGTCCGCGGCTGATGGGCGCGTTCGTCGCGTCCATGGCTGACGGTCGCGTTCGTCGCGGCGGGCGGACATGGTGAGGAGAGGGGCGCCGAGATGGCGCGAGGGGCACGGCAGAGTTGGCGGGAGGTGCGCTGAGCGGCGCGAGGGGCACGGCTGAGCCGGCGGGAGGTGCGCTAAGTGGCGCAAGGGGCACGGCAGAGCCTGCGGGAGGTGCGCTGAGCGGCGTGAGGGGCACGGCTGAGCCGGCGGGAGGTGCGCTAAGTGGCGCAAGGGGCACGGCAGAGCCGGCGGGAGGTAGAGTATGGTCCTAGGATCTTGAGTGGCGTTAGCCGTAAGAGCTCTGATTACATGTGAGAATTGAACCGATGAGTTGATTAGGAATGATGAGGGCTTACATAGTTGGAGCTAAGGAAAAGGGGGGTGATTGGTACCTAGCCAACATTATTGGCCCCCACCAATAAGTTGGGTTGGAGAATTATTGGGGGATCCCAATAATGTTGGTCAAAGTGGGCCAACATTATTGGGGGGGCCAATAATCCTCCAACCCAACCTTGGGGTCCAATAATTGGGCCAAGGTTGGGTTCCAACCCCCACCTAGGGTTAACCCTAGGTGTGCACCCAAACATTGCTTGGGTGCCTATCTCTATCCTAGGGTTTATAGGATCAATGCAGGATACAGAAGAGTAGTATAATCTAACACCGATACAGGAGAGTGTTTAGAGTATGGACGGGAATAAGGGGTCGGGAAAAGAGGGAAAGCGAGGAGGAAGAAAGCAAGAAGCGATGGTGGCAAGGGAAGGAGCTGACCTGCAGAAGGGGCAGGGCGACGGCAGGGGGCAGCCTCTGGAGGTCGGACCTCCCCATGTGTGCCGCCACCATGGCTGCCACACACCGCTCACTCAACCCCGCTACACCATCGCCCCCAGCTGCAGTCACCACTCTCTCGCCCTCACTCTCACCCCCTGCTGCTCCCCCTTTCCCTCCCTTGTTAGTGCCTGCCTTCCCTCCACCTGACGCCTCCTCCCTCACCGCCGGCTTGTGCCTGGCCTTGGAGGGCGGGCGGGCAGCAGGGTGGGTCCACGCACCGCGGGGGAAGAGCAGCGAGAAGAGCAGCACCACCAGGGGCAGCAGCCCAGGCCCGCCTTCCCCCTCGCCCTCCCACTCCTCCCACCCCTCGCCCTCCCACTCCTCCCACCACTCGCCCTCCCACTCCTCCCACCACTCGCCCTCCCTTGCTCCCTGCTGTACACTCGCCTCTCTGCCTCTCCCCTCCCCATTGCCCAACTCCTCTTCCCCCACTTTCTCTGCCACCTGCCCTGCGCTGTCCAGCATGGGCTGGGCGGCAGCGGACAGCAAGGAGGGCGGCATCCACGCCAGCCAAGGGGCAGCATGCTTTGGACCGTACTGCACGGTGCGAGCCAACCAGGTGAAGACACATGGCACGACGGATGGCAGTGTGGGGTGGGGGGGCAGTGCGCGCTCTGACAGAATGGGGGGGAAGGAGCGTGCGAGGAGGGAGAGGGAGGGGTGGTGGCGCTGGTAGTGGTCGCACAAGTCATGCGCGCCCAGCACTGCTGCCAGCACCCACACCAGCGCTGCCAGACGGGGCAGCGAGCTGGGTGGATGGGGGGATGTGTTGGGGGATGGGGGAACAGGAGAAGGGAAAGGAAGGAGAGCAGGGTGGGTGGAGTGAGCGGAGAGTAGGAGGAGAGGGTGCGATAGTCAGATCAGAGATACTGCTGCAGCGATGGTCAGAGATACTGCTGCAGTGCTGGTGGCCATGCCATGGGGCCCACCAAGAAGCCCAACAGCATGGCAGCAGTGTCTCACACCCATTCACCCACCCACCCACCTGCGGCACAGGGCATCAAGGCGGCTCTCCTCATACACGCCGTGCAGCGCCCGCAGCAACTCCACCAACTCGCCCACCCCCACACCCTCCCCGCCCTCGCCCCACTCTCCCCCCACCTGCACGCCCTCCCCGTTCCCCCCTCTCTCACCTCCCCGCGCACTGCCCTCTGCAGCAGAGCTAGCAGCAGCAGGGCGAGGAGGCGCAGCATGCGCGGTGGTTGGGGGCGAGGGGAGGGGGAAGGGCATCCAGGGGGGGGCACCGGCGAGCAGCAGGTGGCGGTGGTGCTGGCTTTCTAGCACCTGCTCCCATGCTGACTGCTGCACCTCGTCTCCCCCCTCCCCACCTGCTGTTTCTTCCCTCCCCTCCCCCAACTCTACCTTGCTCTGCCTTACCCCCTTGTCCGCGCCTCCCTGTGCCCCCCTGCCTGCACTGCCCCTGTCACCCTCACCATCCACCTCCATTGCCTCCCCCCCTTGCTCAACCTCTCCCTCTGCGCCCTGCCTGCCAGTGCCACTGCGAGCACCATCCCCCACGAGCGCCGCTTCAATCCACTCCTCCACCACACACAGCAGTGTGTGCCACTCCTCCCCCTCCCCTCCCTCTGCACCATTAGCAGCGCCACCAGCTGCGCCCACCAGCGCACACAGCTTCACAAGCTCCACCCGCTGCCTGCCACCAGCCGCACCACTTCTCTCCACACTCCCGTCTGCCTTCTCCTCCCCCTTGTGCTGCAGCCGCCACAGGCGCGCGGCGAGCAGGGTGCAGCGCAGGTCGTGGGAGAGGCGGCGGGGGAAGGGGCTTGCACGAATGGCAGTGAGACACCTGGCAGGCAGGTAAGCTGCGACTGCTAGCTTGACTTGGAAGCGATGCTCCTAGTGGCCGGTGGAGTGGGGGTTAGGGACGAGGAGAGAGGACAGGATGTGGAGGGAGATTAACAGGTGAGGAGATGGGTGAGGAGGTGAGGAGGTGAGATGTGAAGAAAACGTCAGGAGATGAGGAGGAAATAGAGTGGAGGCGACGAAGAGAAGAGCGAGAGAGACTGGGGCGAGCGATTGGGAGTGTAAAGGGAGAGGGAGGAGGGGGCACCTGGTTGTTGGGGAGAACAATGGACACGCGGTCGCCCAGAGGGGCAGACAGGCGCAGGGGACACGTGGCGAGCTCTGATTGGTCCACGTGGATGCCGTGGTGTGCGAGGAAGGTGGTGCAGGGCGCCCGCCAGAGCAGCAGAGGGCCGTGCTGTTGGGGGGGAGGAATAGGTGAGGTGAGAGCAAAGAGTTGAGGTGACGGGATGAAAGGGGCACAGCCGTCCGTGAAAGAAGAAGGTCTAGGGGTGGGGAGCCGCGTTGTGCGGTGCCATGCATGCATTGCCATAAGGACGCATTGTTGCCCCTTGAGTAGCATTTGGCACGGTGCTACAGGGCACCGCTTGAGTAGCATTTGGCACGGTGCTACAGGGCACCGCTTGAGTAGCATTTGGCACGGTGCTACAGGGCACCGCTTGAGTAGCATTTGGCATGGTGCTACAGGGCAGCGCTTGAGTAGCATTTGGCACGGTGCTACAGGGCACCGCTTGAGTAGCATTTGGCACGGTGCTACTGGGAACCGCTTGAGTAGCATTTGGCACGGTGCTACAGGGCACCGCTTGAGTAGCATTTGGCACGGTGCTACAGGGCACCGCTTGAGTAGCATTTGGCACGGTGCTACAGGGCACCGCTTGAGTAGCATTTGGCACGGTGCTACAGGGCACCGCTTGAGTAGCATTTGGCACGGTGCTACAGGGCACCGCTTGAGTAGCATTTGGCACGGTGCTACAGGGCACCGCTTGAGTAGCATTTGGCACGGTGCTACAGGCACGGCTTGAGTAGCATTTGGCACGGTGCTACAGGGCACCGCTTGAGTAGCATTTGGCACGAAGCTACAGGGCACCGCTTGAGTAGCATTTGGCACGGTGCTACAGGGCAGCGCTTGAGTAGCATTTGGCACGGAGATACAGGGCACCGCTTGAGTAGCATTTGGCACGGTGCTACAGGGCACCGCTTGAGTAGCATTTGGCACGGTGCTACAGGGCAGCGCTTGAGTAGCATTTGGCACGGAGATACAGGGCACCGCTTGAGTAGCATTTGGCACGGTGCTACAGGGCACCGCTTCAGTAACATTTGGCACGGTGCTACAGGGCACCGCTTGAGTAGCATTTGGCACGGTGCTACAGGGCACCGCTTGAGTAGCATTTGGCACGGTGCTACAGGCCAGCACTTGAGTAGCATTTGGCACGGTGCTACAGGGCACCGCTTGAGTAGCATTTGGCACGGTGCTACAGGGCACCGCTTGAGTAGCACTTGGCACGGTGCTACAGGGCACCGCTTGAGTAGCATTTGGCACGGTGCTACAGGGCACCGCTTCAGCAACATTTGGCACGGTGCTACAGGGCACCGCTTGAGTAGCATTTGGCACGGTGCTACAGGGCACCGCTTGAGTAGCATTTGGCACGGTGCTACAGGCCAGCACTTGAGTAGCATTTGGCACGGTGCTACAGGGCACCGCTTGAGTAGCATTTGGCACGGTGCTACAGGGCACCGCTTGAGTAGCACTTGGCACGGTGCTACAGGGCACCGCTTGAGTAGCATTTGGCACGGTGCTACAGGGCACCGCTTGAGTAGCATTTGGCACGGTGCTACAGGGCACCGCTTGAGTAGCATTTGGCACGGTGCTACAGGGCACCGCTTGAGTAGCATTTGGCACGGTGCTACAGGGCACCGCTTGAGTAGCATTTGGCACGGTGCTACAGGGCAGCACTTGAGTAGCATTTGGCACGGTGTTACAGGGCACCGCTTGAGTAGCATTTGGCACGGTGCTACAGGGCACCGCTTGAGTAGCATTTGGCACGGTGCTACAGGGCACCGCTTGAGTAGCATTTGGCACGGTGCTACAGGGCAGCGCTTGAGTAGCATTTGGCACGGTGCTACAGGGCACCGCTTGAGTAGCATTTGGCACGGTGCTACTGGGAACCGCTTGAGTAGCATTTGGCACGGTGCTACAGGGCACCGCTTGAGTAGCATTTGGCACAGTGCTACAGGGCATCGCTTGAGTAGCATTTGGCACGGTGGTACAGGGCACCGCTTGAGTAGCATTTGGCACGGTGCTACAGGGCACCGCTTGAGTAGCATTTGGCACGGTGGTACAGGGCACCGCTTGAGTAGCATTTGGCACGGTGCTACAGGGCACCGCTTGAGTAGCATTTGGCACGGTGCTACAGGGCACCGCTTGAGTAGCATTTGGCACGGTGCTACAGGGCACCGCTTGAGTAGCATTTGGCACGGTGCTACAGGGCAGCGCTTGAGTAGCATTTGGCACGGTGCTACAGGGCACCGCTTGAGTAGCATTTGGCACGGTGCTACAGGCACGGCTTGAGTAGCATTTGGCACGGTGCTACAGGGCACCGCTTGAGTAGCATTTGGCACGGTGCTACAGGGCACCGCTTGAGTAGCATTTGGCACGGTGCTACAGGGCAGCGCTTGAGTAGCATTTGGCACGGAGATACAGGGCACCGCTTGAGTAGCATTTGGCACGGTGCTACAGGGCACCGCTTGAGTAGCATTTGGCACGGTGCTACAGGGCACCGCTTGAGTAGCATTTGGCACGGTGCTACAGGGCACCGCTTGAGTAGCATTTGGCACGGTGCTACAGGGCACCGCTTGAGTAGCATTTGGCATGGTGCTACAGGGCAGCGCTTGAGTAGCATTTGGCACGGTGCTACAGGGCACCGCTTGAGTAGCATTTGGCACGGTGCTACTGGGAACCGCTTGAGTAGCATTTGGCACGGTGCTACAGGGCACCGCTTGAGTAGCATTTGGCACGGTGCTACAGGCCAGCACTTGAGTAGCATTTGGCACGGTGCTACAGGGCACCGCTTGAGTAGCATTTGGCACGGTGCTACAGGGCACCGCTTGAGTAGCATTTGGCACGGTGCTACAGGGCACCGCTTGAGTAGCATTTGGCACGGTGCTACAGGGCACCGCTTGAGTAGCATTTGGCACGGTGCTACAGGCCAGCACTTGAGTAGCATTTGGCACGGTGCTACAGGGCACCGCTTGAGTAGCATTTGGCACGGTGCTACAGGGCACCGCTTGAGTAGCATTTGGCACGGTGCTTCTGGGAACCGCTTGAGTAGCATTTGGCACGGTGCTACAGGGCACCGCTTGAGTAGCATTTGGCACGGTGCTACAGGCCAGCACTTGAGTAGCATTTGGCACGGTGCTACAGGGCACCGCTTGAGTAGCATTTGGCACGGTGCTACAGGGCACCGCTTGAGTAGCACTTGGCACGGTGCTACAGGGCACCGCTTGAGTAGCATTTGGCACGGTGCTACAGGGCACCGCTTGAGTAGCATTTGGCACGGTGCTACAGGGCACCGCTTGAGTAGCATTTGGCACGGTGCTACAGGGCACCGCTTGAGTAGCATTTGGCACAGTGCTACAGGGCAGCGCTTGAGTAGCATTTGGCACGGTGCTACAGGGCACCGCTTGAGTAGCATTTGGCACGGTGCTACAGGCACGGCTTGAGTAGCATTTGGCACGGTGCTACAGGGCACCGCTTGAGTAGCATTTGGCACGGTGCTACAGGGCACCGCTTGAGTAGCATTTGGCACGGTGCTACAGGGCAGCACTTGAGTAGCATTTGGCACGGAGATACAGGGCACCGCTTGAGTAGCATTTGGCACGGTGCTACAGGGCACCGCTTGAGTAGCATTTGGCACGGTGCTACAGGGCACCGCTTGAGTAGCACTTGGCACGGTGCTACAGGGCACCGCTTGAGTAGCATTTGGCACGGTGCTACAGGGCACCGCTTGAGTAGCATTTGGCACGGTGCTACAGGGCACCGCTTGAGTAGCATTTGGCACGGTGCTACAGGGCACCGCTTGAGTAGCATTTGGCACGGTGCTACAGGGCACCGCTTGAGTAGCATTTGGCACGGTGCTACAGGGCAGCACTTGAGTAGCATTTGGCACGGTGTTACAGGGCACCGCTTGAGTAGCATTTGGCACGGTGCTACAGCGCACCGCTTGAGTAGCATTTGGCACGGTGCTACAGGCACCGCTTGAGTAGCATTTGGCACGGTGCTACAGGGCAGCGCTTGAGTAGCATTTGGCACGGTGCTACAGGGCACCGCTTGAGTAGCATTTGGCACGGTGCTACTGGGAACCGCTTGAGTAGCATTTGGCACGGTGCTACAGGGCACCGCTTGAGTAGCATTTGGCACGGTGCTACAGGGCACCGCTTGAGTAGCATTTGGCACGGTGCTACAGGCACGGCTTGAGTAGCATTTGGCACGGTGCTACAGGGCACCGCTTGAGTAGCATTTGGCACGGTGCTACAGGGCACCGCTTGAGTAGCATTTGGCACGGTGCTACAGGGCACCGCTTGAGTAGCATTTGGCACGGTGCTACAGGGCAGCGCTTGAGTAGCATTTGGCACGGTGCTACAGGGCACCGCTTGAGTAGCATTTGGCACGGTGCTACTGGGAACCGCTTGAGTAGCATTTGGCACGGTGCTACAGGGCACCGCTTGAGTAGCATTTGGCACGGTGCTACAGGGCACCGCTTGAGTAGCATTTGGCACGGTGCTACAGGGCACCGCTTGAGTAGCATTTGGCACGGTGCTACAGGGCATCGCTTGAGTAGCATTTGGCACGGAGATACAGGGCACCGCTTGAGTAGCATTTGGCACGGTGCTACAGGGCACCGCTTGAGTAGCATTTGGCACGGTGCTACAGGGCACCGCTTGAGTAGCATTTGGCACGGTGCTACAGGGCACCGCTTGAGTAGCATTTGGCACGGTGCTACAGGCACGGCTTGAGTAGCATTTGGCACGGTGCTACAGGGCACCGCTTGAGTAGCATTTGGCACGGTGCTACAGGGCACCGCTTGAGTAGCATTTGGCACGGTGCTACAGGGCACCGCTTGAGTAGCATTTGGCACGGTGCTACAGGGCAGCGCTTGAGTAGCATTTGGCACGGTGCTACAGGGCACCGCTTGAGTAGCATTTGGCACGGTGCTACTGGGAACCGCTTGAGTAGCATTTGGCACGGTGCTACAGGGCACCGCTTGAGTAGCATTTGGCACGGTGCTACAGGGCACCGCTTGAGTAGCATTTGGCACGGTGCTACAGGGCACCGCTTGAGTAGCATTTGGCACGGTGCTACAGGGCACCGCTTGAGTAGCATTTGGCACGGTGCTACAG